GTGCTACACTTCCTAGCAAAATCCAACGCTTGCTTTTATATTCACGTTAGACGTACCAAAGTGACAACCTCTTTTGGGTTTATTTTTAAGCTGTCTTATGAACCTCAGGGTTAGCTTGATGGAGTCATATCGGTCTCGTCTTATTTTAATAAACTTGGTACAATATGAGTAACCGGAAATGTGGTATACGAAATAAAATCACATTGTGAGGAGTAGGAAGAAAGTAGTTGAGAATTAGCAAAATAATTGGGTAGGTCTCCCAACTAGTTTCATTCTGGACTGGGCTTTTCTCAAGCATGACTTAACCTCAGTCGTTACTGATCTGATTCTTGAAGAGTAAGGGATCACCATCCTGAAAGCTTTGTGGCACTGACAGAGTCTAACCTGACTCTTGTCCATCATCATACCACACCATATATTCGCATCCCCTGACAAGTCACTGGACAAGGAAACACTACGTTGTGGGAGCTTCTGAGGCGAGATTCATTTCCCACTTAAACCATCGGACCACTTGTCTTGGAGTGACATCATTTATTTCTGAGATATTCGCCACCGAAATCCAGAAATGTTCGATGTTATGAGCGTATGCAACAAGTTCAAGAGATAAGGAATTAAACAGTAAAGACCATCAGAAATGTTCAGACTCCCCCGAATCCACTCAGGTAACTATACACCGTTCGGATTGTTTCAACATAAAACTGTAAGCTGGTGAACTCGACTCCGAGCGGGTGAAATAACCGATTAGTGTTTGAACCACATTGGTATGGTTAGCTAGTATTAGTGGTAGGTAAAAGTGATTTTCAGTTACTCCTGTTAATCAGGAATATGGTTGCCATTATATTCTCTGTTATACTGTTAAGCAAATCATACTGTAATCAAAATATTTTCCTTAAAAAGTTGGCGTTCCGATATCTTTACTTTTCCACAACGAAGTACCGTTGTGAGTTTGTGGAGTGCTATAACGAGCTTCCAGACTCAGATTTACCACGCACCCTAATATTTTTAAGTTGGCTAATTTTAACAACCCATGAATAAATATTGTGGCGTTTTGTTCCATTCTGTTTTCGATATAGAATTTTGCACCGATATGCAGCAGTTCAAGTCGCCACACTCCATGCAGCACACAAAGCAAGAGAAGCTAAAAGAAATGCATAATAGAGACAGTAAACAGAGGTGTGAGACAAAGGGATAGTAGTAGCGAAGAAAGATATAGTTTCATTGGAAATCATGTCACAAGGAGTGGATGCATCTGCACCATTGAGAACGATTTTGAGCCATATTACCAATTGTTTCCAACCATTGGTTTTTACCGTCCCGAGGACCCCAACCGGGAAGTCTACACCTCCCTACGTGGCTGGCTTAGACTAACTGTTGTGGATTTCATTGACTGATGCCATGTTTTCGTTTGATCGCCGTTAGCTCTTTTCCTGTCTGACCCTGTGTCAGCTAACATTGCCCGTCGAGGAAGGCGATGACTAGGCATCTCAGTCGATGTAACTTCACAACTTCGTCGATTGATTTCCCCTGTTTACCTAGCACTCGACGCCTAACCTCAATATTGCGCACCTTATTATGCCACTTCACACGGGAGATAAAACGCAGGCACCTATGATTGAAGACAGCTAATCTTTTCATGTCTTCCACTCTCAATGGCCAGGTCTCACAGCTATATGGTGGCGTGGAATAGATTGACTTCATAAACCTACCAAACTGCTTTTCATCGTGCCTCATCCAGTGTTTTACTCGCCTTTAAAAGCCACCTGTTAACATACTATCTGCTTAAGGCAGTCTCAGTAACACCAAACTTTTACTGCTAGCGGCAAGGATGAGTTGCAGGTTTCTAGATGCAGTTGCTGTTTTCCTTGTGGCTACAATGCTCCTCACTTATTTAGTAAGCATCGGATAACTTTACTCATAAGCTTAATACACTACCGTACTCACTGTCCTCATGGATTGGATGATGAGTGTTTGGATTGCATGATGGGTCAATGTGAAACTTACTAAAAAGTATCAATTCAGGGTACTATATCGAAGAGTAGAAAAATGTTAGGGAACTAAAATATATAAACACGAATGATTAGATAAAGATTACTGAAGCTTTCCAGAGTCTGTAAAATGATAAAGAGTGAACACATAGGGTTCAATAGTTGATTTTTAACATATCGAGGACTCAGTTCACACGATCACGTGAGTGAGATCGTGTAACACTTTCGTGGGTCGGCGGTCTATTTTTGGCAACTTAGTCCCGATTTATCTAATTTGACTTGCTGAGGAAGACAGTAACCCATCATGCGTAGCACATGCTCTACCTGCGTTGATCTATCGAGGTTCATAGCTTTTCCGACGAACAGCCTGCTCAACTAACATTCTGTGTCATACTTCCCTATGTGTAAAACTTGGGCAGTTGCAGTAAGTAATTCCATATTAGTTTGTTTACTAGATATGTGGTGGCAGACCACAATTCAAGTCCCACACACAGAAACTGAGTAATGAGACTAAAAAGAAACCTCCAGTGCAGCCATTAGAACAAAGGCGAAAACACTAAGTAACATCAGTGAGGAAAACTGTGCAAAAGGACACTGGAACTCTCTGAAAGTGGTATTTCAGGAAACGTATACTTCCGTTTTAGGAGGAAAAAAGAGGTAAGACAGGGAATGGCTTTTTATGGACACCTGAAAGCTAATAGAGGAGAGAGAGATGGTGGTGGAACAGAGGATGAACCAATGCAAAGATGGACAACAGAGGGAGAATCTGACTTTAACTCACTGAATAAAGTAGTGGAGAAGAGTGCTAGAAAAGACAAACGGCAATTCTGCGTCATACTGGAAACCGATGCAGAACAGGCCATGTAAAAAAGACCTCATAACTTTATATTAAATAACGGGATCGTTGTCGAGGAATCTCTCAGCACACATGAAACCAATGAAAGAGCGAAGGGGAGCCTAATTACCAAAAAGGAAAAGCAAAGGGGCAGTGGGCTGATCACCTCAAAGGACTCTTGATTCGACCACCACCTGCAATTCGTTCAGAAATACCACCAAAAGCCACAGTACAGCCTGTTAACACCACTAAAAATAAAAACCCAGAGACCTTAGCGGACATCCTCACGCTAATATTGCAGATAAGGTTGGAAGAAAAGAAAGATACTTACTGGTTCAAAGAGAGGCTACCTTGTCAAAATTCCAAAAAGGCAACTTGGGCCTTTGCAGAAACTGATGTGGAGTCATGCTGTTATCCACACCAAGCAAGTTGCGTCATCCTAGAGAGACTGATGCTCTAGACGCAAAACTCCTCCCGGAACAAGCTGGATTAATGAAAAGCGAACCACATGGGGATCAAATCGCAACGCTACACACCATCATCGAAGAGAGCATAGTGTGGCAGTCAGCTGAGAAGGGCACTAAAAGCCGTTAGTAGGGCAAGTGGGATATCGTTAAACCAACTGGTTAACACTATTGTAGATAGACATATTATATCATGTAAGAAACTAGCGGATACAATATTGTCGGACCCCGAGCATCCTCTCTATACGCAGCTGTCTCCTTGCATTTCATCTGGTAGAACTAGAAGCAGCTATAGGCGGCTATATGCTAGGACCACCAAATACAAAAATTCCACAATACCATATCTGGCACAGCTGTTATGTGATGAGAAATCTGTTAGGTATGACACGATAAACTTACTGCGGCACTCTAACAAATACTCCCATTGGCTTTTGTTTTCCTTTCTTCGTTACTATTACACTGTTGTTCTCATTTTCTATCACACATCAACTTTATATTTCATATCCTGTGGTGCATTGTTTGAAATGTAAACTCTACGCTGTTTTTTATTTTTATTTATTTTATTTTTATTTATTTATCTTTCGATTTTAAAAATCTTATATAATTTATGAGGTAATTAGATGCAATATACTGTAATGCACGCTGAAAATTTCATACCTGTACCACAAATACCGTTTGGAATAAAGCTGTTATTATTATTATTATTAAACTTCATGGACTTTGAAAAGGCGTTCAATATCGTTGACCGCAAAGTAATATAGAAACTGCCCCAATATTTCAGAGTGCAGCACACGAAGCTTTATCAACCTCACTCAAGACCTATATGATAATGTCACAACTGAAAACTCTGCGAAGCCTTGGGAGTGAAGACAGGAGTGAGACATTTTCTACTGTCACCGGTGATAATGGTGGACTGGATCATGTAACAGACTGTGGAGAGCGAAAAGATAGAAAATACGTCGAACCGATAAGAAGACTGTAGAAGATATGATATTTATGGATGATTTATGTCTGATGTCATACAAAGTCGAAAATATACAGGCGATAACCAACAAGTTAGCAGAAGAAGCAGTGATGACGTGACTTCAAGTGAACATAGAGAAGATAGAGGTGACGAAGACACCTAACCACCACCAACAACAACCAGACTCAATTACTATCAACAGAAGAAATTTGGACGCCACTTCATTGACTTATTCGGGCAACATCGTTTTAACAACTGGCAGTTGGCACGATAAGGATGTCAAAGTGAGGATTAGGAAAACAAGACAAAAATTAATTATTCTGAAGTCAGCTGCTGCAATCAGCACAAAGAAAAAGATTCCACTTTTCAACACTAATGTCGTCAGTGCTTCCATATGGTTCACCGGCCCGATACTGAAGGTCAGATGGCCGGAGAAGATAAGCATTAGATAACTCTGGAAACGAACCAACCAAGAACTTATTGCCCATCAAATATGCCGAAGGGAATAGACATGGATTGGAAACATGTCGAGATCGTTGAGTGACATCGCACTGTAGGCCCTTGAGTGGAACCCGAATGGGAAACGACAAGTTGGGAGTCCAAAGGTGACATGGAGAAAATCCTGTTAGGAGGATATGAGAGTTTATGGGAGATCGTGGAGCCAGTTAGGGAGGACTGCAGATTGCGGGAAAACACGGAGATGTGATGTCGAAGTCCTATGTTCCATTCAGAACCATTTAGGTGGGAGCATTACCACTTGATATAACAATAGAATATTATGTTAGGTCTTTATTTCTTGATCTGCTTGTTACAGCTATATCTTAGTAAGCATTTTACGTAGATCCTTTTTGATGATTTTTGAAATAAACTAAGTTTGAACTAAGGAGGACTTTTTCTAAATACTTAAGAACTACAAAATCCAAAAATTGTTATTAGTCTGAATTACTCATGTGTCGCTTTTCAGCTAGATCATGGACAGTTATTTTATGAAGAAAGTTAGAAGAAACTACAGAAGCAAAGCTGGTGATTCAGATGAAGAACAAGGTCAAGAACCAGAGAGTTTATACGATGCAGCCATGAAAGAAATGAGTTCACAATGTAAACCAGACAACTCGTCAATTAAAAAGAACAAAAGTGTTTTAAGCTTTGAAGACGATCTTGACCCAGGTAAGTAATTGTTTTTTACAGTTTCATGACTTTGTATTACAGACGATGGAGATACTTTCAAAGTCAAAAAATCTTCGATGAGTCGTAAGGTTTCAAGGCATACAAAAGAGAGTAAAAAGAAAAAAACACAAGAAAATGATGGAGTGAGGATAGTTGGCTATTGCCGCGAGAATTTAGTTTCATATGATGAAAGTTCTCCCGACCCGGAAGAAAGTCTCGAGGTACCATCTGTTCTATAGAACAGTCTCTTTTATTAATGTAATCCAGAACCTAAGAAAAGAGCTACTAGATTTAAATGAGGAAGAAACAACTGCTGAAATAACTCCGTCTGTAAAACCTGAACCCACTAATGTGACTTCCTTGATAAAACGTATGTTCTCCTATGTGTACTTAATTTCCACACAGAAGGTTTAATTCCCGACGCTGCAACCATCCATTTGGCCCGCAAGCAGCGTGAGAAAGCGAAGAGCCTTTTTGGTCATCTGATCATTCTCCCACACACTATTCGTCTAGTAAAAATGACGGTAGACGCCTAGTCAGGTAACACTTAAAATTTTAATATTTTTTGTATATTACTAAACACGTGGCAGTTTTGTTGAAGTATCTTGTTTTGTTGTGCAGAAAATTCTATGCAACTTGATAAAATTACTTCCGTTATCTCGTTTACTTCATATATTCCACTCTAGTTGGCGGGGTCATATGAATTTCAGGTGACTTGAACACTAACCAGTCATACTACGTCCTGTGTTGTTAATATCTACCTATTATTTTGTGGAGAAGAGCTTACTGAAAGGTTACTCATTGTCTGTAAACAGTTTCATCCGTAGTGCCTACTACTGCACTGTGAAATCATCGGAGGTTTTTCTCACTACAAACTGTGTCTTTCTGGAATAGAAGTTTTATGGTTCTGAAAAAAATGCTTTAGTTGAACATCATTCATTCTAGTCATCTGCAAGATAGAGTAGTGTGATTAAATTGTACATTATGGACACCAAGAGATGCGCCACACAGAAACAATAAAACAGCAATATATAAGGAAAAATGGAATAGAATAAATGAGGGAGGTCATGCATAAAGTAAGATCATTCAACAGTCATCACTTCATGTTACTTTCAGAAGAACAAAAAAGAAAGGAATCGCAACATGTTCCCTTTTTATTGCCATTCTCGGTCATATCTGGTAACACCTCGAGCCACCGATTCGAACTGTCTTTCGGACCACACTCAGAGTCGTAATGTATCAATGTATGCTAACCTAACATAAATGTTAGTGCCAGTAAAACGTTCGAACGTTGTGGAATAGATCAAATAAATTATAATTCTATAGTTTACACACAATGATAAGTTACTGCCCGCGATCACACCAACCGTTGGAATTGTTTTGTTTTTAATTCACAATTTTATGACTTGTACTCATATATATAGTTCAATTTTTTGTCCATTCACTTTTGTGTATCCAGAATTATATTCCAGGTTGTTGATAGTTGTACTGAGTCACCCTTGTAAAATGCGATTACGGGCAGTAATTTTACTCGAAATATTACGACAAACAAAAGCTTATCATTTTGTGTAAACTATCGAAATATAATTATAATTTATTTAGCACAAATATCTTTCATTTATCCCACGGCGCCATATTATAAGCTGACCACCTCCTCTTCTTCTATTCAGTTCCGGGTCTAACAAACAGCAACCGGTATGGGATCCTCTAGGATGACATTCGTAGCACGTATCCAAGACACCAAAGCTGGTGTTGTGGCTCTTCTCTTGGGGCCCATAATGTACCAAGTCTGTGAAGCCGACAGCACTCAATAAATGGTATCCAGACACCTCAGAATTACTTGTACGATGATGCAGCTCTACGGAGGCAGCAATGATCGAATACTTAGAGTGGCCGCACATCCTCAGCTCGGAGGGGCCATGTTTTACTGTTGTAGAGCAAGACTGCGCGCACCGAGGCATTGTAAACCCGACCTTTGACAGCTGGACTGACGTTGCGACGGCGTAATAGGTGGTCGAAATCGGCGTATGCCGCCCTGGCCTCCATTATACGAGTAGAAATTTCGTGCGTCACACCTCCGTCAACAGTCGTAGAACTACCCAGATACGCAAACTTGTCAACAACTTCAAGCAATTTACATGTAAGGGTAAGTGTAGGTACAGGGGCTTGCCAGTCTTGCAACAATACTTAGCACTTACACCGCTCAAAGTACATACCATACCTTTAAACACTCATAGTATGATTAAATTAACAATTCAATAGTATTTTGATCTTTTGGTCAAATCAATTTAGGCCTGTGGTGAAGTGTTCACAGTACATGGCTTGGAGACCATCCCCTAAACCCACGTTAAACTATCAAAACATTGCCTCACGAAGAATAGCCTTGTGGATAGTTGTCTATACATGTAGCTTTGGCAGAAATTGAATTTAGTGTTGTTGTTTTGATAATTGCATCAGCGTAATATTCAGCCCAGCCTGTTAGTTAATGTAGACATTTCTTGGGTATTTCTGACTTTCATTGCTGTGTAATTTCCTTGATTGCTGTAAAAGATATGTTAGAAAGCGAGGTTTAGTTCTAGTTTTTCCTATTTTCGTGCTATATCATTGTCTTTTTTACAGGGAAGACGATGATGTGAATGAAGATGAGGATGCAGATGACGATGTGACAGTCTCTTATTCGAAATCTGCCTCGGAGACCAGACCGGTCTTTGTAGTCAGTAAAGAACGTGAAACTGTCAGCAAACGCTCAGTTATCGGTGTCCGTCTGAACCGTCGTGAAGAAGAACTGAAGTGTATCAGAGAAGACTTTATGGCAGCTGAGCATGCTAGTGATCGAGATAGTGATCAAGAGATTGAATGGGAACGTCAACAACTTCAAAAGGCTATGATTAATCAGGTTGGTTATCAACTATCTATGCTTTTATAGCTTTTATTTAGCACTATGAGATGTCTTTATATTTGTGCCTATGTGTATATTAATTTAATTTTACGATGTTACACAAAGGAATGTGATCACTCATTCAATGGATGTTTAATAATGTTTACATTCTGCGTTTTACTACTTGTTAGTAGGTAGTTGCGTTATTACAAAATGATAGTTGCTGCCTACTTTTCATTCTGAAAATTTTTTTAATGTTTTTGTATGAAATGTATGACCATGAATAATGAGCTTACTAGTACAGTTTCATCCAATGAAAAAGCGTTTATGAAATTTCATAAACCAGTATCTACTCCTGTAAATAGATAGACGGATTCTGTGAATACTACAGTATCCAAAGTTCTTCCATGTCAGCAATACGTAATATGGTACATTAATTCCTCTGAATAATCTTGAATATAGAGGAAACATTCCCTCCATTTGATTAATTTTTTTCAGAATCCTGCCGTTTTAGAAGCCATTCAACCAATTCTTTCATCTGGAGATTCCAACTATGGAGCGATATCCAAAGCTGGCACTCTGTTTGCTGGAATAGATGTTACTAATATAACATTGTCAAAATTCAAAGAAAATCTGGAACAGAAGTTAGTTTCAAAGTTAAAACAATCTTAAAACAATGCATTTTCCCAATTTCTTGATTTTTTTGGAACTAAATGTTCAAAAATTGCATGTATAATATTTCTTGCCTAGGTGTTACATGTTGACTGGACAATGTTCTGTGAGGTTTTATAATTGGCTTTTATTGATATCGGCTAACTTCGTCTACCGTTACAATAAGTGTAAAGATCATCCTAGATTAGTTGTCATGTGATAATATAAGAAGTCGTGAAAAGCTGTCTCCTGTGTGAATGTTCCGTATCTCTGAAATTCAGCGGTAAACACTGAAGTTGCTTGATGTTGCCTTTTTGTTTATAATCCATTTACACATTTCTGTGTATGCGTTATTATTATCTCCCGGTGACATTATGAAAAAGCATCCTTATTAATGTACTGGTGAACATTTGCATTTGAATTTGTGGATAGATTTGTTACTATTCATGTTTAAGCCTTTATCTTTTGGTGTCACTAGGCCTTACTTTCTAGGGTAATTAATGCCGCACTACAGATGATGACTAATTTGATGTCAAAGGCCGTCAAAGTCCGTAAGAGAACAATCTGGAAATACCAGAACTCTGTTCATTATTAGCTAGCAAATTCGTTCAACATCATAGTCAAAAGTGTTTCAACCGGATGATTCAAGTTTTTTGTCTTCGTAAATGATTTTCACTCATAATTTTTGGAAATAATCGATATATCGTTTGTATTTCTTAGGTATAACAAACTAAATGGATCACTAAACGAGCATAAAACAACATTGGAAGAAGCAAAAAGAGATTTAGAACGAGGAAAATTAATCATTGATGATGCTCGTGGAAAACTGCCTAGCCTTGCAAAACGCTTTGTGTTCTATCAGCAAATGAAGGAGTATATAGATGACTTAATATCTTGTTTCAATGAAAAGGTTAGTAGTTTGCTTTTCCTTTAAAAACATTTTTATGTATTTATAATGTACCTTTGCAAATATTTGTTGGTAAGATAAAACATTTCATTTACTCAAACTAATAAAATTAATTCTTTCTTCGGGAAGATATTTCACTGGACACGGATGTATTCATCTGCTTCTTAGAGTGAAGTTTATTGCTTTCGAAATTGATTTCTTACTCATCGAAGTGTTGACAATGCAATCTTTAACTCTCAGAATAACATTACTATGAGACAATAGTGGATAAGATTGGTTCATGACGTTTTGTTTGTTGACATACCACTGGAAACACCACGCATATCTCATTGCCTCCATAACTCATATCAGTGTTGAAATGCCTAATTTCTTCCGTTCACCCGCGAGAGCTAGTGTGTGCACAGGCCTCTGCAAAACCTGCAAAGTTGTGTTCCACCCTGAGGTTGCAAAGCAATTATTAGGCTTACGGATACTGACTACCAGCCGATTAAGTTGGATCCGACTAGCCTATATTTTGTTGCGTAGCAAAATGACATTGCCAGCATACTGAATTTCTAGTAGGCTTTCCGCAGATTGCAGTTGAATGTCACCCCCACTACACGCATCCTTCATAACTATCTTCCGGTATCTGAGATGAACTGGAACAGCTTCAAAATGTTACCAGATGTAGCTGCTGTTTTCATCTCACAAGCTTGGAGATCCTTACTTTGTCTGACAATATGCGAATAGCTTTATGCAGAGACTATACCTTCTGTTTGCGTGAATATGCTAATGGGTGTTAAGAAGTTGCAGAGAACTTTCAGAAATCCAGTGTTTTTGGCAGAACGCTCTAAGCCACAAGTGATTGCAGACTTCATCTTCATGGCATCTTGTAATTATCCAAGTGTTCGACTATTCATTCTTGAACCGTGAATCTAGTTACTTAGTCAAGTCACTTATTTCAGCCATTTTGTAATACCGTTTATTATGACCAAAACGCAAGCTTTCCTCAGACTAAAGTATTATCTGCGTCCGAGCAACTTCTTCAGAAGGAGCAGTAGTCCTATTTGGATCCATGGCATTGTTAGCTGATATCCGTATGATCTGTTTCATTGCAGGTTTCAGTGGCACGTATCAAAAAACGCAACGGCGATGGCCGTGCAGGAAGTCGATGCTTGCCCAGAATAGGTTGCAGTTTGCGTAGAGCTGCAGATGACATGAATCACTGGTTTAATCACTCTGCTTTTAGCCAATGGGTCATGGGCTGGAGTCCCTCTCAACCTACTTCAGGCTTGACATCTGGGTGGTACCAGTCGACAACTGCTACCTTGTCGTGGTGGTCGAGTTTGGGTACCGCAGTGACCCATTAAGCTAAACTGGCTGTTATCCATGTTCCTGCAGGTCCTACCATGTCGGGAAGGTTGTTTGAATAGCGGTTCGACTAAGAGTAGTTACCATGTGGTACATGGGCTCCAGAATCCAATCGGATCAAATGGCGCATGAACCTATATTGGTCACCGGCTACCATGGGAATGTAGCTCCTGACGCTGCTCCGCTGCCTTGCGGAGGAGACTCCAAGTCAAAGGCTTCGGGGGTGGTTCCTTAAGACAACCACTTGCTTCGGTCTGGGCCCCTGGGCAGTATCTCAGCCCTCACACAGTCAATGAAATGAAACAACAAACTGTCAGTGAAACTTATTGCACAATAATGACGTTTCAAGTGACGCACCTCTTTTTAACCTTACCTTTATTTTTATACATAGACTTTTGTGTTTTACTTTTGCTATCCTTGACGTCTTAACTTTCGTCAGCCTTTCGCCTTTGTCTGAATTCCCAGCCTATCTTTGCCATTACGAGAGGTTAGTGAGTAGCCTTCAAGAGGTTTGTGCCAAGTGCGACACCTAACACTGCTCACCGCCTTTAAACTGGCCACCTACAATGTTCGGACACTGATGCAAATCGGACAACAGGAAGGTTTGGTAAGAAAATTGGAAAGCCTCGCTATTTATGTCTGCTGAATTTCAGAGACCCGCATTCAAGATCCCAGTGAAGTGCTTCGATTATCCTCTCCATCTGAAAGTTCGAATAGTATGTACCTTCTGCGCTTGTCCGGGGTCCGTGTGGCGTCGGCATCCGGCGTAGCTGGTGTCGGTGTCGCACTAGGCGCTAGAGCTGAAGCTGCATTACTCGATTGGATCCCCATTAACAGTCGTTTATGTGCTGTGAGGCTAGAAGTCTACATGAAAGTAAGGAGTGGTAGGCCAGACAGGCGGTGCCTATTTGTTATCTCTGCTGATGCACCGACGGATTGCAGCCCGGATGCCACTAAGAATGAGTTCTACTACTAACTGAGAGATACCTTGAAACGGGCGCGTCGGAGGGATATTGTAGTACTGGCTGGAGACTTGAATGCACAGGTCGGGTGTCTAAGCTCAAAGGAGAGTCGTTTAGGTGGTTAGTGGGTTTTTTATGGTCACAGATCAGATAATGGAGACCGTGTTCTGCAGCTTTGCTCAGATCACAACCTATTGCTAGCCAGCACCAACTTCCGGCACAGCCATCGTCGTAGCGCAACCTGTCGTCCTCCCTCCACGAATCAAGCTTGGACTCAGATTGATCATATTGCTGTCAGTTTCCGGTGGGGAGGATGCATTACAAGACTGCCACGCCTTCTGTAGCACATGGCTGGACTCCGATCATGTTTTAGTGTGTGCCAGGTTCGTTTTTCGATCTGGTGGGGTCCATAAACGGCGTCATCTAAATGTTGATGTGAGCAAACTGGTAGCACCTGCTACTTCTTTGAAATACGAGAATGAGTTATAATCAATGCGTGCTAGCAACTAAAAGCTGCTACCTTGACGTGGTGGTCGGGCTTGAACACCGCAATGACCTAATCAAGCTATACTGGCTGAGACTTATGTCTCTTGAGGTCCTACCATGCCAGGCAGGTTGTTTGGATAGCGGTTAAACAAAAAGCAGCTACCCAATCCAACATCATGTCCAATACAAAATCACAAAATTTCATGCCGGATCGGCCGTGGCCCGGATTAACAACGACCGCGCTTCCTGCTGCCGTGTCACAGGGCAGGAGTGATAAATATGCTACTGAGACACACCAAACAAAAGAGAACGAACAAAAACAGGCCGCGTGTGACCGGCCTCAAGCAGTTGTCCCCTGGGCTCTGCGGTCACGCAACCAACTTCCACGGTGTGGGCAGCCGGGAAGTAACAATCGCCCTCACAATCCGAAATGCACACGAAACCTCTCTATTACTCACTCATCTTTGTCTTCATCTTCATCTCTATCATCTTGCCTTCCTTCCACTGATGCAACTCCTCGACTTGATAGCTCTCCACTTCCTCTCCACTCTGCGTCCACTAAAAACGATGGAAGCCAAAAAACCACCACCGACAGCCTCTTAAAGCCGCGCCACCAATTTCATATAGGAGCTCTTAATGTTAGGACACTTTGCCAAATAGGACAACAAGCATCACTAGCCAAGACCCTGGCATCACGAGCCATTGATGTATGCTGTGTTTCAGAAACACGCATACAAGACCCAAGTGTGGTTATTCACCTAACCCCACCTGGCCAACAGGTTGAATCTGCAAAATTCACCTTGAGGGTGTCAGGAGATGCCACAGCTAGTTCACGAGGATTAGCTGGCGTAGGGATAGCTTTGAGTACTAGGGCAGAAAAGACATTGCTTGACTGGATCCCGGTAGATAGCCGAATGTGTGCTGTCCGTCTGAACGGATCAGTAAGAAGGAGAAAGGACTGCACTACTCGCCGATGCCTTTTCGTAATCTCCGCCTACGCCCCCACTGACTGCAGTTCAGATGAAACGAAGGATGAGTTCTACCAAAAGCTGTCTAGTTTGGTGCGAAAGGCTAAACGCTCAGACATAGTCGTTCTAGCTGGTGACTTTAACGCTCAAGTAGGGAAATTGTGTCAATCTGAGAAGGATGTCGGTGGCACCTATGGAGTTCCGTGCCAGCGAACCGACAACGGTGACCGTCTCCTACAGTTCTGCTCTGATAATCATTTGTTTCTTGTAAGCACTAACTTCAAACACAAGGAGAGACACTGTTTGACTTGGAGACCCCCTTCATCAAACCAACGCTGGACACAAATAGACCACATAGCAATAAGCTATCGTTGGCGTGGGTCGGTAGGAGATTGTCGCTCCTTCTGGAACACGTGCGTAGATACCGACCATGCACTGGTCCGCGCTCGGGTGTGCTTACGACTGAACGGACGTAGGAAACAGCTGGCGGTAAAACCATCACGTCCCCAGCTCGATCAGGAAACTAAATCCGTATTTGAGGAAGAACTAGCTAAACACATATCTGTGTTCGACAGCTGTGCTCACCCTGAAGAAGCTTGGAAAAATATCCAGGCAGCCATAGATACAGCTGTAAAAGCTGTGAATAAGGTAAACCCAAAGGTGAGTAAAAACCACTGGATCTCCACCGCCTCATCCGAACTGATAGATGCTAGAAGACTTATTCCGGCGAGCTCCGAATTCAATGAGGAGCGAAAGCTGCACAAGAGGAAACTTACGAAAAGTCTCCGCAAGGACCGTGAACAGTGGTGGGTGACAAAAGCCAAAGAGATGGAGAAAGCTTCGAGGATAGGCAACACCAGGCAACTCTTTAGACTCATCAGGGAAACGGGTGGGAGAAGACAAATCATTAGTGAAACAATCTCGGAAAAAAATGGCACTATAATTAGCTCCCAGGATAGACGACTGGATCGTTGGAAAGAGCATTATGAGGAGCAGTTTAATTGGCCCACAGCCACGCTCAACCTTCCGAACATCCAACACCTCCCTGAATGGGATATAGACACAGGTCCCCCAAATAGGACGAAGTGCACATCCTGGGTTCCACTGCTAGTCACGATCCACGAATTAAATATAGGTCTCCCTTCCTTAAATGAGGTTACTAAGGCTGTCACTAATCTGAAACAAGGCTATGCAGCGGGAACTGATGGAATGACTCCAGAGGTATATAAATACGGTG